GGTTCCTTATATATTTCAGATTATAAGCCTATATTCGATTTTATTAATATAATTTTAAGAGGATAACCTAAATTTCATTCCCTAATTATCCTTCAACTTTTGTCTATATCATCTATACAGTGGCGTAATTTGGAACCGAGAAAAAATGGAGGAGGATACATTAGTAGTAGATGCCTTGTGGGGCATAATACCTTAATGAATGGGGATTCCAAGGAATCTAGAACTAGAGGAAGTATAGGGACAAAGAAGGAGGAGGAACCTTCGCTATCTCCTAAGAGGAATTATAATCTAACCTCCTCCAGCCCACAGCCGCCTAAGCTTGTTCCTAACAAAGAACTCAAGGGTCGGACCTTCTGTGAGAGAAGTGGAATATCGCCGCATCATCTCCGGGGGGAAAGAATATATCAAGCAGGAAAACTCAGGTTAACAACTGGCACGATTGAAACGCAGAACAGCCTAGCACAGGAGGCAGGGGAGTCATATAATTTCCTTAGGGAGCCAGAAGATGATTACTACCGCACACCGAGAGGATTTAGATGTCCGAGTGGGTATGAGGGGAATAACAAGCCAATGAATAAGGGGCCTCAGACCATGAAAAAGACGCCTGACTTGGAGCCACAAGCCTTGAACGGCGACAGGAGACGAAGGAGTAAGAATATTCCTGAGGTTCTGGAGTACTACCATCGAAGCTATAAAAGGAACGGCCTCAGAACAAGAATAAAGAGACTAATAAAAAGAATAGATCTAAGATTCCAACTGAAATTGATGCGATACATGAAGGGGAGAAAGTATTCTGTAGAAAGTGAATTTTTGGAGCTTCGTGGTGGTGGAGGGAAACTAGCTTATTACTATAGAGAATACGGAGTATTATTAACACTTATAATAGCTACTGTAGAGCTCTTAATTTGCTTACTGGGTCTATTAGTCCCAGGTCTTTATTCTTTATCAATAGCAGCATGTATTATAATAGGTGGATTATTCGTGAGTATTTTGTATTATTATATAAGGACCTATTGTAAGATAAAGAAAATGAGAAGATGTTTCAAGAAGCATGGTGTTATAATAGATCCGTGAAAAAAGCAAAAGGGGGAACTGTATTATGGATAAACTACCTTAAAGGGGAATTTTCCGGAAATTGCATTGGGGAGCTTATAGCAGGAGGGCAAAGGATATATGATATTAGTAATAGAGATGTAGAGGAGATTCTTTTTCTCTTTATTAGTGACAGAGATGCTTCTGGTTTTCTTTTGTATTCCTTCTTCGAGGAGGCCTTAGTAAGAGTAGATATTTATTTCCATTGTTAGTCGTCTCCAGATGTATAAGGGGGGAGCCTTAAGGAGATGATTTTTTCCTTCTGAATTTTATTTTATTGTATAATTTTAAATGGATTTCATTTTTTCCGGACTAGATTTATTTTTATATTATATAGGGGCTGATATTTATGTCTATTTGAAGAGTAAATATGTGAGTTCATCCATGAAGTGACTGCATTAAATGTAACTGTCGTGAAGGCGTGGATGTTATGAATTTTTTAAGTATAGGCAGGATACTTTAGTGGTTGACTAGATTTGTGTATGGTATATTCATGTTTAGGTTTAGGGTTCAGGGGTTATTCTATGGATGTGCGCCCCATCGCCATGGTCAATCTTACTCTCTCATGATCTTATTAGGGGAACTAATATGTATATGGTTTATAATATAGTTTCCTTCCAATCCTATTGCCACCTGATGTAAATCTTAGTGCATCCGGTTAGATATCGTATTTAACCATCCCTGGAGCTAGTCTTATCTGTATATAAAAACATTGTGCGTTTGGGAACTCTCGTTCGCTATCCTTCAAAATGTGAGGCAATATGATACAAGAAATATTGATCATTCTTTATGTATAAGTATTTCCTTGTTAGATATCAATACTCTGCGATGATGATTGTTATTAATCCTTCTGAGACAGGAAAATTTCATCTGCCTCTTCGCATTTGGTTCCTTATATATTTCAGATTATAAGCCTATATTTGGAAAAGCTATATTGTTACGGGTAATCCAAATTCATTGCTATATTACAAGCTATATATCCTCAGATCAAATAGTCATTTAGAATTCCAGACCTGTGTGACAATACATATGTCTCCTTTAGCTTATTTTTTATCCTAGTGCCTTATAATAGAAGATACGTCCTAAATCACCAATGAAGAGTTAGAGTCAAGAATTAATTCCTAATAACTCTGTATGAAAACCATCACAATAATATTAGATTATTATGAAATATTTGTAAACTTCTAGGTTTTAGAGGAATAGGCCTTCTATCATACTATAGTACAAGTTTAGTTACAGACACATTGTAAATGCCTGTGCTACAATAAAAAAGAAGTGAAATATAGGGTAATTGTTTTATTTTCCCCGTAAATAAAATGTGGTACCTACAGAATTTATTTTTCAATATCACTTGAATGGAAGTACTAATTCTTTCTAAGTGCAATTCGGATTAATGCCAAGGGAGAGGATAATCATAACTTATTACCTCGATCTGCCATTATGGTTTATTTGTATTATGATATCTTCCCTAATACTAATTGTGAGCGAGGAAAATAGTTACTCTATATCAGTGATCATTGTTATAGACGGGGAACTTGTGGGATGCAAGTACAAATTATTGGGTATCTATCTCCGGACAAGAATTATGATGCAATATTACCGTAACGAAAGATAAGGATAGAAGTATAAGTTCCGCTATATTTCCAAATACATCTAAACACATATCTGTAGCAGTTGCAGCACAGACTTATAACGGGGGAGTATTTGACGAATTATATAGCTAGAAAGAGAATATATGATCATCATGATGCAGTCAGGTCAAGACTATCTATTACAATTTGATTCCTCGGTTAATGCCGAATGTACCAATTCTGTGCATCCTTTTTAGACAGATAATTACCTCAAAAATGGATTCATTATATATTATGCTGTATATAAATATCCTGGGCTTATGGTTTGCAGGCCGGAAAATCGCGCCCATCTATAGAAATATCAGTAAATTATTTTAGACAATTGGGGAAGTAAGACAACTAATTATTTTGAAGGTACCATTCAAACTTTCTGTTATTATTTTCAGGACGTGCATTTCCGAATCTCTAATATCCCTATCATAAGTTTATTCTATAGCATGTTTTTTCCGCGTATTGACGCCTTATGTATAATTCTAAGAACCTGAGTGAGAATCTTTATGATAGAAAAAGGAGCAACTTATGAGAATAGAACCTTCTCTGTCAACCACTTAACAATCATTTCAGCTGTCCAGTTAACACTAAACCCCTGAGTAAACACACCCCAAGAATTCTTTGGGTTATGTTAATGAAACTAAATGGAACACTGTACTATAATGGTTAGGGGTCAGCAAACGGAGAAATATTCAGTAAAAGCCTATGGGTGCGCTTTAATTAAGCTGTTATAAATCACTAGGAGAGTCAATTACGAAACAAGTTATCGTATAGCTAAGTGTAGAGTGAATGAATAGCTTATAATGAGATTTGATAAGCTAGCGGGGCAGATACCGAACACCTATAAGTATATTTTATTTCAGCGTCCTGACGTAATTATGAGTACACAAATGAACATTTACTTATAGTGAATGTCTGTACCCTTGTCTATCTCAATGATATTATAGTCGAAACGTATGAGAGATTAAGGAAAACCTGATTCCCACCTAGAAATTTGGTTTAAAGAAGTATAAGTGTCCTTATCGAGCCACGGAAATGGAGGCACCGCTTTGAATCTCATGTACAACTGACCCTAAGGTTCATGTTAGAGTGCCTACTCCAATTAGGCATTGTGCCCTAGGAATCATTATCCAATGAAGTGAAGAATTCCCCTAACAGTTAAGGCATATATTTCACTGTAAGAAGAGTAATGTCGGGAATGAATTATTCCTAATGTTTCAAAGCAGGATTCAACCTGGACACTCGATAACTGTGCATCTGATTTATGCAGGGCTCCGTATAAGTATAGATGGGGACACATATAGACGTCCTTGTTAGAAGTTTGTAGCTATAGCATCTAACAATACCCCATAGATCTTTGTCTACGTTAGTGTTATGAATGTTAAACTTATAATAAGGTCCTATTTTATATTTCGTATCTGGAATTACGAAACCTGAATAATATGTCCTCCATATATTTGAGAATTAATCCAAAGATTATGTCCTAGAAATGAAAACATAAGGAATCTGTAGAACTTCCTTTTGAGAGGAATATATGCTAAAAATGTGAGGGGATTCCACATGATTTGGGTATTCTATTTCCTCTGACAAAATGGACGGTATATACAAATATGCGTTATATTAACTAAAGAGAAGGACATGAAGGGAATTGGGGGAACCTAGGACTACAGTTTTTTGTCAATTATAGTATAAAGGAGTTCTATCCAGGGTACCGAGAGAGTGATTGCAGAGGAATAGCGGCACATAGTTAGTTTAATTATATCGAGTCATACAGTTCCTTACGACTCCCCTCATGTATTGTAGTTAGAATCAATTCCAATATCCTGTCCTTATTTATGGAGTACAGCCCAGAACATGTGTAATTTGGAAGAGTATCAACCTGATCACATAACTATGCTAAAATGAGACGTCTTTACAGGTTGTGTTAACCCACCCTTGAACCCAAAATGAGCCAAATAGAAAGAAGTAAGATAAGTTAGGATTAAATCCATCGCTTTCTGCAATGAATCTTACATGTCAATATTAGTAAAAAATAATAGATCACATAGGAAAATTTTTAATGACAAAACAGTATTTATAACACCAAGTAGTAATTTCTGATTATTTAGTAATTATGTACGATAAGAAGATATAAATAAAAGGTAAGCCGACTCCTTAATTATGTTGCGAATACATGATCTGTCTCGGAATCGTATTTAAGAGCTCTAGCGGTATAAGAGGT